CTGAGAAAGCATGGAATGAAAGGTTAGCCAGTGTAAAAATGGGCCGAGAAACGTTAATAGTTTGAATTTGGGTAATACCCACGCCGGTTCAAACATCTATTGTTCTTGCTACCCAACACATGATGATGCAGAGCGGTGCGGTTGTGTATTTTGTGCCTTGTCAACTACCAAGGTAGACAACAATATAATCGTACTTCACCGAGGATCGAACCCTGGTCAACCACTTGACTTCTGCTCCTTTTCTCGGTTAAATCACATGAACGTACCACACAAGTGCATAAAAAAAAGGAAAGACAGAAGGAGAGACGCCTAGAGTATGAAGACGGAGTGAAGGGCAGATGTTGAAAGAATGAGAAGTAGACCAGAGAGAGAGAGAGAGAGAGAGAGAGAGAGAGAGAGAGAGAGAGTGTGTGTGTGCGTGTGTCTGGAGGCGATGAGAGACAGAGAGTGACAATGATAGACAGAATGAGAGACATATCTTCTTCTTTGCCTTCACTGGCTGTAAACTCAAGCGGAAAGTGTTGGCTGTTCATCCATTTCTGGAATCTTTTCCTGTCTCAGAACCTAAGTGTTGCGTGCACATCAGTTTTACGGAGCTCACTCATTTGTTTGCAGACTGCTGGTTCCTTACCTCTCAGACAGATGCACTCAGATTTCCAAGGAAGCGCCCAGTTAAATGACTCTTTACCGCATGCTTTTGGGTAGGCAGTAAATATGTTCTTGTTCTCTCCCCCCCCCCCCCCCCTCCATCCCCAAAATGGTACCCGGAAACCCACACTGGGATGAGAGACATATTTAAAGAGAAGAGAGAGAGAGAGATGAGGAGAGAGAGAACGAACGAACTTTATTTTCAAAGGGTCACAAATTACTCACGCAGGCCCGTCTTAAAGTGGGCCCTTCTAGTCAAGCATCTTTCGCACAGCAGTTGTATTTTACTAATAAAGCATGTTATGATCAAATGGTCGCGCCACCTTGAAAATTTTACAAGATCCCCCACTTGTGTCTATTGTAAGACCCCTACAAACATGTTCTTCTACCCTTGCGTATTTTGCAAGGACACCCCCCCCCCCCCCTTCCCCCCCCCCTCCCCCCCCCCAAGGCTCTGTTCCCCACATAACAGAATGTGATTAAAGATAGGAGAACAATAGATTGCTCAACAATGGAAACAGAAATAATGGAGATACATTTTGTTCAGAATGCGCCTGTTATCATATTAATAAGATTTTTTGTAGATTTACAAACTTTTCTTAACATAAATCAGCAATTGCTTTACAGAACGTCGCTCCCTTCACGGCACTCCTGAAAGTATTCCTTTCTCTAGCCAGTTCTTTAGCCCCAAGTGTTTTCATTTAAAATGCATCTTTAATGTGCTGCATCCATTTTTGCGGAGGTCACCCTGCCTCACCTTCCACAAACAGTACCCTCCATCACCGTCTTTTCCAAGCCACCATGACGTCTGATGTGGCCAAAAACCTCAACTTTCGGGACAGGATGCTGTTTATGAGCCAGTTGTCCTTATTGTTTAACTTGTATAGAATGTCGATGTTTTTCTCCTCTCGATCCGTGGTATTCTGAGAATTGTTCTGTAATATTTTAATTCTAAAGCTCCAATCCTTCTCCTGAGTGGCTGGCTGAGAGTAAAGGACTGACAACCGTAAGTTGAACTAGGGAAAAAACAAACTCTTCACAAAAACAACAATGTTCTTGTCGTTTTGTTTAATGAATATTTTAACAAAATATTTGGTACTATAATTTTAAACGCCCCCAAACAAAGGAAACCGTTGAAACACAGTCCAGTGGACTAATCCAGGGGTGTTATGTTTTGTGTAATCTGGTATCATTCTCATTATTTTTCTTGTTGACAACACATCACATAAGTTTGATGCTTCCCCCCTCATCAAATTTGAAACCCTTTTGCGCCCGCCCAAGATTTAAAACCACCTTTCCAAACTCATTTAAATATACAATCTTAATTATGTGTAAACTAACATATCATTGACATCTGCATCTAGTGTACATTATTATCTAGATCAGAGCAGTTAAACAACCCAGCAAAGATTAATCTTCCACCTTCTATCTTCTCTAGAGTTGTCGTGATGGCTTTGAAGTCCTCTAATGACGTAGCCACCAGGTGCCTCGAAGTACATCTCTCCGTCCCAGTCGTTGATGTAATCGGTGAGATAGCACCATTTTAACGGCCTGTGACCGGCTGCACAACATTTTACCGAAAATCGCCGATCTTCGTAGTAGTTGTCATGGACGCTGTAGATGCCGTTAATATAATTATCTCCAGGGCAATTGTAATCCAGTGTCTGGTCCCAAAGATTTAGAAATTCTTGAGAAGAAAAATAAAAAACGTAAATCACTTTGAAGATTCGTAACTATAAATTGCGTAATCTACTTCTCTTTTTCATAATTATCAGCCTTCTCCCCGCGTGTCAACGTCTTTCTTGATATCATCAAGGATTTGAAAAAAGGAGGATTGCTCGAGGATTTGAAAAAAAAAAAAGAATAGTATGGACATTGTTGAATTCAGTACAATACTACTCCTTACATCAAGCCTGCTCAAAGTATGTTATGAGAATAAACACTCGAAAACTAAGGTAATAAGGATAGGCAGGAAACATAATATTATGAATGTTTATGTTAAGGGTACTACAATCAAACAAGTATGAGAGTTCGAATATCTAAGAAGCGTTACGGTGGATGCAGACTCGATAGAGAGATGGAAGCCAGAGTAGAAAAGGCAAATTCTGTCACCTATTAGCCTCACACCCAAATGTCTCCCGTCTAGCAAAACAACAAATGATTAATATCATAGTTATCTTTACTTTATGTTATCACTGCAAAACACCGACAATGAATAGGACACTAGAAAAGAAAAATAACTACATGTGAAATGCACTGTCTACGTAAGGTCACTGACAACACAGAAGGGACTGGGTTAGAATACCAGCATTAGAGAGAAAGTTGGAATAAGACCATGTCTGGATTCTATTGACAGACAAAGAATGAAGTGATTCAGCCATCTAGTGAGAATGCAGCCAAACCAAACTGCATACCAGACTTTTTACATCAGAACTTCTAGGAGGAAGGCGAGGGGAAGACCAAGAAAGAGATGGATAACCAGTGTAGCTGAAACCTGCAGAAAGATGAACAAATCCACCACCCAAGCCACTCGAGAAGTGCAAGACAAATACAGAAAAAAGAAGAAGAAAAAAAAAACTGGGTTTCAACCTGGGATCAATAGGACGACAAAAGAAGAAGTACAGTAATGGTTCTCTGCCAACGTCTTACGTGATATCTACAAGGATTCAAAAAGGAGTGCTCGTGGATTTAAAAAAAAAAAACATTAGTACAGATATTGTTCAATTCACTGAAAGAGTTAAAACAATTAACAAACTGACGCGTGTTTAACTCACCGGTCCAGAAACAACTGGTAGTTGTATATGCGGTTCTGCACTTAAATTGCCAGATCCTGTCTTCAAAGTAATTATCGTGGATGCTCCTGATCAGGTACAAAGCCCTTCCGTGAGTACACTCAAATGTAGCCACCTGGTCAAAATTGTTGACCCATTGACCACTGGCCGACAAGGTCCACACAACAGCAAGTAAAATGGTTACAGCAAATGAGGCCATAGTGATGACTGTAGTGTCCACAATAGTTCGTTGAGTAGAGAAACTGATGATGTGGGAATCGATCACTTGGTTTAAAGTTCGTGGAAATATATGTGACATTTTCTTTATAAAATCAATATGCCATGAACGGTTTTTGTGTCAAAAAGTTTGAATATTCGGGTTCAGCAATAACTAGAACAGCGAAAGCACAGAAGAAGCAACCCGTCCACCCCGTGTGGGATGCAATTTTTCGTTATTTGGAGCCCCACCCTGGCTTTTGCCGGGGTTCCTGAATATAGCTGGGCCATGAATGTGGCCATAACGGCTGAAAGGGGTTTCCTTGTTAACTGCTTCGGGTGTCTAGGGGCATATAAGTTTCTGCTTGTTGTTATTCTGGCAGTCACAACCACAAATACATCGAGCTGTTGCAGAGTATCTCTGATATTTTCTTTCCAGTCTGTTCTTGGTCTACCTCGGGCTATAGTGCTTCTCCTCTTTTGGCGTATGTCTTGTTTGCTATAGCGTGACAAGACTTCATTCTAAGTGGACATACCAGATGATTTACTGTCTTTGTATATAATTTAATACTGGTTTTGTGCCGACTTTTTCCTCTAATGACCTCATCACGATTTTATCTTTTCTGATCCATCCCGCAGACCTTCTCAGACAAGGTTAGTAATTTATGTTTATGGTTTGGTATAAATGACCATTTTTCTAGCTCTGCTGGATAGGGTAGGAAATGAATGCGCTTTGTATGAGATGTTTCTCTGTCCTAATTGGGATTGTTTAATGCTTTAACAGGGAGCGAGTGTGGTATAATACTTAATTTCCGTTACCCCATCGGTTAACTTGTCGGCTCTGTGGCTAAGTCGATGCGAACGCTTCGTAATGCCAGGATGCTGGGTGCGATTCCAGCTGCGGGCCATGCGCCTTGCGTTGGTTTCGACAGTGGTATCAAGAAAGCCGACTGTTTAGAAAGCAATGGCAAACTACTGGACGTAAATTTGTCTAGAAAAACCAACTTTTGGTTCTGCAACGTCCTGTAAAGGACACGCAACCAACCATCGGTTAACTTACAATCTCTAACAACTGGCGAAAACAGAACGTTGTGATTTGGGTTCATTTGAGTAAAAATTCGACATCTCAGCTTTCAGATAAAACCCATATTAGCTCCCTGAATCATTGTGATCGAACGATTTCAATGCTTTTGGACAAAACCGAAAACCAGAATAGAGAGCTGTGCAGACCCCCTCGGTCGAAAACATTTTCTTCAACGTAAGCCGGTCTTGTTATAGTCGGTTCCACAAGTCGTGTGCAGCTGTAAAAATCTGTGGCTCAGAAACCGGTCGGCGTAAGCTGGTAAAATTGGGCATTCAGCCTATTAATAATCTTAGCTTGTAAGATTCCACAGGTCAAGGGAAAGTCTAATATTTCAGGTAGTGGTAGATAGGCTGCATGCAGTCGTGGGATGTGGGCTGCACTCTCTCGTGGGACGTAGGTGGGTTGGGATTAGGGCCAGTTTTAAATGTTTTAGGGTAGTTGAAAGCATCAGAAGGCCGGAAACCCAGTCTTATCATCCTTTAAAATGTTGGACTGTCATGTGACGTCATCTGGGGTAGGATATTAATAAAGAAATAAAACATCAGATCGCACACGTTTATGGGTGTCTTACTCTCAGCTGGTCACCTTCAGCACTAGTCTCCCACGACTCGGGGATTTTTCATTTTATGCCAGATAGGCTTTCAAAATAATCACCACCCGTGGCTGCACATGTGAATTAAGTTCCAAACAGTCTCCACGCGTGTGTCAGTTAGGGTATATTTAGTTTTTAAAGATACACAAATTATTAGTAAAGCAAACTCGAAAGAAATTCGTCGCTTTGAGAAAACAGCAGCACCTGTGCAATTGTAAATTATGAATTCATAAGGATGTAGGAAATCTATGGCCATATGAGATATTTGCTCAAATGTGAGGGCATGCTTTTATAATGCATCAAGTCCAATTCATCTGTGTGTAATGTGATTACCGAGCCTTCCAATATGTAGTTTGAAAAGACGGAATAGAGTCAACCCCCCCCCCCCCTTTTTTTTTTTAAACCAATTTAAATTACAGTAGAAGATCCTTTTGGACTTAGATGTATTCTGTTCTAAGTCATCACGCCTGATTCCATAAAAAAACTGAATTCAGGCGAAGATAGCAAAGAAACAGTCCTTAATATAGCAGGCCCTGGGGCTGCTAAAAAAAGACCAAGCTTATAATTTTTGTTTTCAACGAATCCTGAATCCTGAATCATGCCTGGCTTCAAAGGGACCGGAACTTGGGAGCTCAGATCCTTTAAGCATCCCCCCCCCCCCACCCCTCCATCCCCACCTTCGCCCCAATATACTTCTTTTAGTGGTTTCCGCCCAGCATTGCACTTTATGGGATTAACATATCAAGGATGAATCACTCTGGTACAAATCTGATAAACAATGTTCAACCATAAAGCAATTTAGCACAACTTCTTGGAATACTGATAAGGCAGATGTGGTTAGAATTTTGAGGGCGAGTGTGCACAATTCAGAGGAGCAAACAGATCCTATACAGCCTGGTGAGAGTGATGCAGCGGGGAGTTCTGGCAGATGTCGAAAGGCAAGACGGAATGCTACTGGCACCATTGGTAGTGGAACTCTGCGCTGGCTGCTGAAGATGGGGTATGAGCGCTTATGAGAATGCCCTGAGTGCTGTGATGTCGGTTCTTGAATCAACTCAACCCAGCTGAGTCCAGTTGTGTGAATACAAAACGGTTGTCAAGTAATCTATTGTTTACCAGTGTAAACAAATTACCTTTATAAGTGTTTGTACAAGTATTAATTTCCAATATATTATAGATCCAGATCTCACCAGTACCTGTTGAATCACATTCTTCTCGTTCTTACGTGTCCGATTAAGCGAAGAAGGAGATACTGAGCCTAGTGTCATGACCCAGGATGGCCCACCTTGCGAGATTCTTTAGGATGGTAACGGGCCGAAACAATCGTCGACAGAGGATCTATTACTGATGACTGGTAGACTTCTGCTGTGTATTCTCCTCTGTGGAGTTTTCTTATTATCATATATTGTATGCAGGCTTTACACGTCTTCTCAATGCTCAGTCCACGAAGGCTCACGTGGTTGGGTCCCACCTGTGAAATGGAGGATGGCAGAGTCACTAAAGGACAATCTCTATGGTGAATTATAGATGGATATAAAATATCGAGGCTGACTTATTCTACAATATAAAGATGTGTACACGGGGAACAAAAATGATACAGGTATTGACGTAGACTCGTGGGGACAAAATGCTATGAACCGTATCGTGAGGAGGGGGAACCAGGAAGGGACCCCCCCCCCCCCTTCCCCCATTGACAACTTCTGAATCAGAAGAGGAACCTGACTCAGTAATCCCGCCGCCGTCTTGATACTCGTATGTCCCTTCATTCGCAACATAAACATGTGTTAAGTGCCAGTATCATCTAGTTTAAAACTACTATTGTGTGCTTGTCACAGCCGTGTCCAATGCGTACATAAATAAATAAAAGACTTCTTTGCCCAAAAGTACAGTTTACTTGCGCTCAGTTGATGCTGTCCTCATCCTCATTATGTGCCTTGCCGAACAGCGTAAACTGTCATGTTTCGTTACCTGACACGATCACAACTAGCACAGACATAGTATTAGTCAAAGGTTCAACTTCACTGCAGTCGGATCGCCTCATACTTGCTCTGTTCCGGTGCCAGTGACAATCAAATGACATGTTTCTCATTGTTCCATTAGAAAAACTTGTTATCAAGCAATTAGTCCCGGCACAAACCACAAACATGCGCACGCAGTAAATGCAAACGACAGTTGCTAGACACGCCAGAGCTAGCAGTCACCACCAAAATGCAGTGTTTTGCTAATGGAAGTAGTCGGTCACAATAAGTTGGCTATATACACTTAAAATTATTACATACGGGTTTTCACAAGCCCACATATAAACCAGCTACCGGCCACATTGTATACAACGACTACACCGATGTACAAATAAAAGGCATTCCGCATGTAAAACACAACTCACAGTACTGCGCCAAGCACTAAACTCAGTAGATCAGGCAGCGAAACCGTAGACTTCCATCCATATGTAGAAACTGCATTAGCAAATCGCTATGGAAGGCAAAAATAACTTCTAAGCTAAACACTCCTCCTCGTCTAATCCTCCTTATTGGACTAGAAGTCGTATTACGGATCAGGTCATGGTTGTGATCTTGCCTCAGCCATACTGTTGAGCCACCCAGATATCTCTTTGCCTTCCTCTTGTTATCTTTCTATCACTTTTACCAGCGTTTACCATGTTCCCCAGTCCATTCTTACTGATGTTAGTTGCGTATCCTTTTCCAGAAAGTTACAGAATGACTCCATCATTTTTTTTACGGCTGCTGTGGGTTTGTTATGCAAATTTTAAAGTTCAGTAGTTCACTGATTGCCTAGAAATGGTTAATGAAAGTAGAACATTAAAGACAATAATGAGTAGGAGACAAGAAAAGTTCTTTGGTAATGTGATGAGAAGTGGAGCACTAGAAAATATCGTGAGGACTGGAAAGATCATTGGAAGAAGAGGCAGAGGCAGACCAAGAGAAATGATGGTGGATGGCTTAAGACAGTGGCATGGAGGAATATCATCAGTGAAATTGTTCCAGAACACCAAAGACCAAGATCTGTAAAGATGCATAAACGCCTACGCTAGGTGGCAAGGCACGTGATGATGATGAGTTGACCATTGCCTTGAACAGGACCTGTCCCCACTACCTTCTGATCCGAAGGCGAGCGACTAGTGGCTACGCCACTGGAGATGACTTGCCAGATGTCATTTTTCAACAAGTGAAACCAAAGTGCATATGTATCCTTTAACATTAAGGATATCATGCCAGTCTAATTTACAACACACGCCGTCTATCCGGATCTAGCGGTTATTTAAACAGTCGTGTTTTGGGTATAAAATATGTGTGCTTACCTTAACTGCATTAAAACATTTCTAAGTAGAAAAGAATCGCTCATACTTCGTAGTTTTTGTGAGAGCTTCTAGTTAGTTGCATATCTTATATTCCAGGCAACCTTGTTGTTTGTTTGCTGTTTGTAGTGTTGCCAGGTAGTTTTGTGTCCCCTAGGTTACTATTAAGCTAATCTACATTCTTTGGTCATGTCAAGAGAAGGGCAGAGTCTACATTCTTTTGCCGTGTCATGAGAAGGAGAAAATCGACATTCTTTTGTCGTGTCATGAGGAGGCGATAATCTACATTATGTGGTAATGTTGTGATAAGGAGACATCTACATTCTTTGGTCATGTTATGAGAATGGGAGAGTCTACATTCTTTTGTCGTGTCATGAGAAGTAGATAATCGACCTTCTTATGTTGTGCCATGAGGAGGCATGGGTGTTCCGCGATACCGTTGATATCGTGTGTTGTGTGTTTCAGCACGTCAGAGCTCGTAACGCTCCAAAAACATGCAGGACTGGTCCTAATACCGCCCCCTCCCCTTGCATTTTACGAGAGTTCTAGAACCTATGTCACAGGCATTCTCTATCTCGGAATAAAAGCGTAAATGGAAGACAACGCAGAAAGCTTTTCGGGTAAAGAGTAGAGCGTAACACCCCCGTAAACTTCAGTAAAGTTGACGAGCCTAACAAACTATGAATGAAAAGTCTAGAAGCGGCTAGACGCTCACCTACGGCTCGGAAGATTGTGGTTTGGGGTCCTGACGTAGCCGGGTTTTTTTCTCTTTCAAAAACGACATTGGGTCTGTAATTGAGCCTTGAGTAGGGTAGCAGGTGCAGTTCTGGGAAGTAATGGCGATCGGCGTGATGCTGACCACATCAACCACCCAATGCCGATTGGTCTATAAAAATTTATGTTTAGCTCCTAATCCTTAATACGTCCAAAGGCGCGGAAAACGGTCCATTACTTGACCACTTACTTACAGCCCCATGTTATAGACGCAAACTGGTCTATGAACTTGTACATTAAAAACAGGCGGCTTAAATAGGCTATATATAAACACATCAAAAATTGTTGTTTCTTTACAGAACACGAAGACGCGATTTTTAATACATCGGCGACCGGGTCGCCCATTGGCCCATCGGTAGACGACTTCGTCACCAAACAGTATTTAGGCCTGTATTTTTTGATCGCATCAATACTGCGAAAGTCCTTTTTAGGTGTCTTGATGGCCTGCAATGCTAAGCCATTTTATACGGCGCACATAACCTAGTCACAATTATAACCTAAAGCTCCCCCTTCCGGAATTGCTAGTTAAACGTGACGATTTTATGTTTCTAGCGAAGCAATTACCTATGAGGCGATTTTTGTTTTCCATTTGTAAAATGTTCATAACTCAGCCCTGTCGGACGACCCCCATATAAAACCCTTTGCCACCCCATTTGGGGTCGCCACCCATCGGTTGGGAACCTTTGCTGAAAAGTATTCATCCTCATTAAATGCTTTGCCGACCGGCGATCAAGCCTCTCCACAATCTGCCATCTTGGACAGCAGGTAAAATTTCGTGTGTTAAGACACCTCCACGCCATGACGAAAAAGGTCGCCAATAATTGTCTCGTGCTGTCTTCTTCTGTCCCCACCTCCCCCCTCCGACTCTCACCCTCCCCCCCCCCCCCTTTCCACTCCCACACAAACATATCTTTTCAGTGGTCACATCATTTCTTGTAACTTGACCAACAAATGATGTCTGTCTCTTTCTGATGTTTGTGATAAGTTGTCTTCGACCCCTCGCCTATTTTTTAAACATCTGGGTTGTTCTTTTTGTCTGTCCAAAAAATTAAAGAAAACCACATCTTCAAGGCCTCAAGAAATTGTTTCGCTTGTTTTTTGACTAGCCTGAATTCAGAACCATATGTTAAAATTGGCTCTACATAGCATGTGATAATTTTTTCTTGTAACCTTAAATGATTAGATTATTGTATAAAATATAAATGTGTAGTCGTCCACTCGTGGGATGCAATTTTGTGTTATTTTGAAGCCCCACCCTGGCTTTTACCGGGGGCCCAGTATATAGCCGGGCCATAAATATGGCTTAGCCACAGATATGACCTAATGGCTGAACGGGGTTTCGGGGACCTCTCCACAGGTGATCCTCATCCGCATGGTGGCATTTTGTGTCACCGGGTGTTTATCGCTTGTGTGATGTCCTGGGGAAGTACAACTACCAACCTACCTATTGTATAAAATGATTTTTATTAAAGCGTTACTCTTTTTCGTAGCCACGCATCTACTTCTAATATAATCTAAAGAGACAAATAAGCCAGTGCAATAATGATACGGACAGTGGTTTGTCTTTTACTTCTGTTTTGCATTCACGGCATAAAGGGTCAGTGGGTCAACGACTACCACGACGATGCGGTGTTGGACTGTCGGGGCAACCAGTTGCTCAGTTCCATCGGCAGCATCCACAAGAACAGCTACGAGGACCGCCTCTGGAAGTTTCAGTGTCGGCCCGCCCCGGGACCAGTCTATGATTGTGACTGGACAAGTGAGTTTTCATAATACTATTTCACACACGTCTTAAACAACTGATGTTGCTGCTGCTGCTGCTGCTACAGCTATTACTACTACTGCTCCCCGTGTGGGTTCGGTACCCCATTGAAGGTAAAACAAGAATAACCCTACTGCCTCCTCAACAAGCATGTCGTAAGAGTCGACCAACTGTGGCTGTCTTCGAAGTCGCGGTGCATCTGCCGGAGAGGCAAGGAACCAGCAATCTGCATACAAGTAGGTTAGATCTGAAAAACAGATCTGCACGCACTATTCAGGTTCTAGAAAAAGACTAATGTCCTGAGGTGGACGAACAACCCAAACTTTTCGAATTTACAGCTGATTAACGCGAAGAAGAGGAAGCAGGGGACTACTACTTCTACTACTATTACTGTTGCTGCTGCTACTATTACTATTTATACTACTACTAATATTGTTTTTTGCTGCTGCTGCTACCACTACTACTTATACTACCGCAACTAATTTTTTTTTTTTTTTTGCTGCTGCTACGATTACTACATATACTACCACTACTAATATTAATCTTTGCTACTGATGTTATTACTGCCGTTGTTGTTACTACTTTTGCTGTTGCTGCTGTTTCTACTCTACAAGTATTATTAATACCACTAGTACTAAAATATTCATAGTTTTTGTTTAATGTGCGGCTACGTTAGTATTATTACAATTCAATTACTGAGGGTTTTATTTTTCAACCGTAGGTGATAGTGATAAGAACAAGAAGAAGCACCCGCAGCAGCAACAGAAGAAGAAGAAGGAGGAGGAGGAGGAGAAGAAGAAGAAGAAGAAGAAGAAGAAGAAGAAGAAGAAGAAGAAGAAGAAGAAGAAGAAGAAGAAGAAGAAGAAGAAGAAGAAGAAGGAAAATAATTAAGCGGAGGAGGAGAAGAAGCAAAATGAGAAGGGGGATGAAGATCGAGTTGTAGTTGTAGCTGCAGAATCAGCAGCAGTAATAGTAGTATAAGAAGAAATGGAAAAAAGAGGGGGTAAGGGGGTGGGGGGGGGGATAGGGAGAGGTGAAGAGAAGGAGCAGGAGGATACTGAGAAGATGAATAGAAGACATAATTACAATGATATATCTCCCATGCTCATTGACTACCCCACATTTGTTGTTGTTATCATCTACTCCAGGTTACCTGAACGAGTTTGACCAAGTTCTCAACTTCACCTGCCCAAGGGATTACCTCATCAACGGAATGATGAGCTACTTTGACAACCTGTACAAAGATCGTCGCTTTTTGGTCAAATGTTGTCGCGTTTACCCGAGATCCACCACAAACTGCCATTTTACTGCAAAGTTCGTCAACGACTGGGACAAAGAAATGAACTTTTCCATGTTGGTCGGGGAATGTATTAAAGGTGTTTACAGCGTCCATGACAACAGAAAGCAGGACCGGAGATGGAAATTTAACATCTGCAATCTTGTGTAAAACGAAACCAATCTATTAGCTTAAAATATAAAAAAATACAGAAAAACATTATTCGTTTTTCTCTGTGATTTTGTTTATTTCTGGTGCAAGTTTTTAGTTCTATGTATAAGTTAAATTCTCTTTTAAAAAAAAGTACTATTATTTGGGTTCTATCCCAATATTCCCCCCCCCCCGGATGACGTCAGAGTGGTCAGACCGGGATTCCCCGCTGTCTGTGTTTTGTGTGCCAACTTTTCCGTTTCTTCCAGCGGCATCTCAACAGCGGCTTGTGTCCAGTCTTCATCCTGCAAAGTACCGACGTTCTGAGCTGCATAGTACAGACGTTTTGAGCTGTATAGTACAGGCGTTTTCAGCTGTACAGTACAGACGTTATGAGCTGTATAGTACAGACGTTTTCAGCTGCATAGTACAGACGTTTTGAGCTGTATAGTACAGACGTTTTCAGCTGTATAGTACAGACGTTTTGAGCTGCATAGTACAGACGTTTTGAGCTGTATAGTACAGACGTTTTCAGCTGTATAGTACAGACGTTTTCAGCTGTATAGTACAGACGTTTTCAGCTGTATAGTACAGACGTTTTGAGCTGCATAGTACAGACGTTTTGAGCTGCATAGTACAGACGTTTTGAGCTGTATAGTACAGACGTTTTGAGCTGCATTGTACAGACGTTTTGAGCTGCATTGTACAGACGTTTTGAGCTGTATAGTACAGACGTTTTCAGCTGTATAGTACAGACTTTTTGAGCTGCATAGTACAGACCTTTTGAGCTGCATAGTACAGTCGTTTAGGGTTGGTGGTTAGGGTTACGGTTTGGTCAAATACTGCATCTCCCAATTGCACATAGTCCACAACACACAGAAAAATGCACACCAAAGAATTAAAAAAAAAAAAAACAGCACACTGTTAGGTAAGGGTGCACAAAACTGCACACTGTTGGGTAAGGTGCATAAAACTGCACACTGTTAGGTAAGGTGCATAAAACTGCACACTGTTAGGTAAGGTGCATAAAACTGCACGGCAACTGAAATGTCAGATTACTAATTTATACACTTTATCTACCACGCCCTGAAATATTAGACTGTCCCGTGACCTGTTGAATGCCCGTGTTTAGGGGGAGATATTGGGATTGTACCATTATTTGTCTATAGCGTCTTCGCGATTCTTCCGTAAAAGACACACAGGCAAAATGCTGGCCTATAAAGACGCCACTACTTTTAATACTTCGAGTGTCTTTTGCGTGTATACCTTAAAATTGTGTTACTGTGGGACAAGTACATAAATTTAAGTATGTGGGAACATCGATAACATCAGATGGAAGATGTATTACTGTGATAAGAAATGAATAGGACAGGCAAAAAACTGCATTTTATACAATGAAGAACATCTGAAGCAACACATCTTTGTCACTGAATCTTAGAAAAAGAATTCAGGCTTGCTACATACATCCAGTTTTGACATATGGTTGTCAATCATGGACAATCTATAGGCAGGCCAAACAATTTCTTGAGGCCAAAGAGATGTCGTTTAACAGAAGAATGCTTAAAATACCGTGGACAGCAAAAAAGAGCAACAAAGAGGCGGGAGCCCAAAGACAACTTATTACAAACATCAGAAGGAGACAGTCATCATTTTTCGGCCATGTTATGAGAAAAAGGAAAATGTTGTAACCACTGGAAAGATCTGTGGAAGGGATAGAGGAAGACAACCAGAGAAGATTCTTGACAGCACCTGATGATGTTGATAAGTGTATGTATGTATGTATGTATGTATATATATATATATATATATATATATATATATATATATATATATATATATATATATGTGTGTGTGTGTGTGTGTGTGTGTGTGTGGGAGGTGGTTATGTGTATGAGCCCAAATGTTACGAAGCCTATGGTCGATGTTGTTCTTAACATTCTCCTATATACCAACATCTAGGCTTTTTATTGGCACAGTTTCTCTAGAAAGCTAGGGGGCTGCGTGGTCTCAATGTATGGTGTCCACCTCGAGTGCCAGAGGTCCCAGGTTCAGGCCTCGATAAAGGCTTCGATTTTTTTAAGTGGACTTTTACTAATTCCCCCTGGTCTCTGGGTAGTGAGATCGGACGACCGTGTGCATCGTTGCGCACGTAAAAATCTCGTGGCAGTTGGAAATAAAAAAGAGTAGCCTAACCGCGATGGCCGGGCACAATTTGGAGTTAATAATTTACCTAAAGTATTTCAGTATCCTCACCGGTGCTACAGAGCCTGTGCACTGTGCTGAGTTTCTTCGGACTCAGACTTGAGTTAGAATGAGAACGGAGCACTTATGGGTGTGCCATGATGTTGATCCGTTGTTCACACCTCAAGCCTCTAGAATGCTGACATACGAACAGGAGAAACTCTAGGACCATTGTTCATGTCTACGGCGTTAACACATAGAAGACATTGGGCTGGAAAGGGGGCGTGGGGTCCAATTCTCCCCCCCCCCTCCCCTCTCTCTCTCTCTCTCTCTCTCTCTCTCTCTCTCTCTCTCTCTCTCTCTCTCTCTCTCTCTCTGCTTTAACACTTTCTAAACACAAGGAGGGGTCTCTAAGGGACAATTCTTAGTTTAAGAGCATAATAATAATGTACCGATTGAATATAATACAGCAATAAATGTTAACACAACTGTTTTTTTTTTTGGGTGGGGGGGGGGGGGGGGGAAGCGTCAATTAAAATGAACACAGAGGTGTGTTATTAGCAAGGCTTTTTCTCTGCCGGTAAGCAAAGGTGTGTTCTACCGACTCTTTAAAAAAAAATCAACAGTTTGTTCTGCGTTGCTGTAATAGACACATGGGGATGACTACTTATACATGTTAAAACATTTCATGGTTAGTACCGGCATCTTTTGTTCTTTTTCTTCGTCTTAAAGTCCATGCTGTGTGGCGTTAGTAGTCATGCTTATCCACAACCTTCTGTCTCGTGTACTTTTAGTCAACTCTGACACAGATGATCTTCCATAGTTCGTGCCGTGTGGTGTTAGTAGCCATGTCTATCCACACCCTTCTGTCTCGTGTACTTTCAATCAACTCTGACACAGATGATCTTCAATGCCATGATGTCAAACCGTCCAGCATCTGTTTTCTCGATCTCCCTCTGTCTCTCATTCCCCCCCCCCCCCTTCCTCCAACTTTCCTACTGTCCCGATGTACTCCAGTGTTCTCTTTCTCATCGCATGATCAAAGAATGTAGATTGTCTCTTTCTAATGTGGGCTATCAGTTCTCTTCGTGAGTCAGTTTCTTTGAAAAAAGTGAGAACTGTTATTAATAACGCTAATGGGAAGTTTCGTTAAGACGATGTAGATTTTCCTTGGAGTTTTCGTTAGCAAGGTTTTACTGTTTGTTTTGTTGTTGGTGCTAGTGTTGTTGTTGTTGTTGTTGTTGCAGATATTGTTGCAAGTGTGTGGTTGTTGAAATAACATGAAATGTACAATCAAATAAGCATTTCTACAATTGTTTATAGGGGATCGTCTGGCCAACTTAACAAAAAAGTATCTTGTTTAAAAAAAAAGGTGGGGGTGGGGGGGGGGGGTCGGGGGGGGGGGTTAAGCCTCCTGCAAGTTTTCTTTAAGGCTCATGTGACGTGAACAACTCCCCCGCCCCTTTTGTCCCAAAGTTCCGACGCCCGTGATTCGTGTTACAGTCGGGCAAACATGAGATACTCAGGTCAATAAATCGAATGCTACATACGACACACGCAAACTTTAATTACCTATTGACAACCTGTTATACCTCACGATGCTTTAATGCTTTCAAAGAAAAAGAAGACGAAGAAAACTTAAAATATAGAGGCCTATTTAACAACAACAACAACAACAAAACTCTGTAAACGGCTGTCAGGTCTCCCTAGCTAAAAGACACTTGTTTGTTTTTGGTTATGCCTGCATTAGTAAAAAGAGTGCTGCTGGTCGTGTTCTGTGGCATCCTGTTAGTCAGTGGCAGAGAGTTTGATAAGCCTTCTAGAAAACAATGCCCCGACAGTCAAACTTTGAGCTACATCGGGAGCGTGTACAGCAAATACTATAGGGATCGGAAATGGAGTCACGGTTGTAGACCATCGGCTCAGACAGCCAGTTGTTTCTGGACAAGTGAGTTGTTTCTTCTCCGTCTTTACGTCGTCGTTCTTCTCTTACTCAAGCTCCTCCTCCACGCCCTGCTTTTTGTGTTCCTCAGCGTCCTCGTCATCGTCTTCATCATCATCATCATCATCATCATCATCATCATCATCATCATCATCATCTTCTTCTTCTTTTTCTTCTTCTTCTTCTTGTTCTTCTTCATCATCATCATCATCATCATCATCATCATCATCATCATATTTTCTTCATCCTCTTCTTCTTCTTCTTCTTCTTCTTCTTCTTCTTCTTCTTCTTCTTCTTCTTCGTCTTCTTCTTCTTCTTCTTCTTCGTCTTCTTTTTCTTCTGCTTCTTCTTCTTCTTCTTCTTCTTCTTCTTCTTCTTCTTCTTCTTCTTCTTCTTCTTCTTCTTCTTCTTCTTCTTCTTCTTCTTCTTCTTCTTCTTCTTCTTCTTCGTCTTCTTTTTCTTCTGCTTCTTCTTCTTCTTCTTCTTCTTCTTCTTCTTCTTCTTCTTCTTCTTCTTCTTCTTCTTCTTCTTCTTCTTCTTCTTCTTGTTCTTCTTCATCTTCTTTTTCTTCTTCGTCTTCTTCTTCTTCTTCCTCTTCTTCTTTTTCGTTCGCCCTTGAAAGGGCGATTGACACGTTGAGTTGTGCTTCTCAGCTAGACAGTGGCAAATGCGCCTTTTACCCCATTGTGTTCAGATTTCAGCCATCCCTAATTAGTTGCCTTATACAACATGCTTTTAAGGGATAGTTAGTCTGTTATTGTTTCCCTGAAATGGGACGCCGAAACCCACCCGGGGAAGGAATGGACTTGCTTGATTGCCTCTTCTTTCTTGCGCATAGCATTCACGGTAACGTAACACGTAGACCCACGTCTGCCGGCCCGAACATTGTGGGTTCAAA